TTTGCTCTTTTTTTTTTATTTGTTTAAATATTTTTCCCTAACATATAAATTTGAGCTACTAATTTGACTGTTTTTGTAAACTATTTTGTTAATATAAGCTCTAGATTTGGCTTCAGTACTGACTGATCTAATGTATATGCACAAATAAAAATATTGTAAAACTTCCTATTAAAAATATGAATTTAAATGAGAGATTTGTGTGGGGTGTACTTATATATGCCGAGCACTGTATAATAAAGGCCAAGCAGTGAAGGGCTAAACTCTAAACATTAAGATTGCAAAACACACACACACACACACACACACACTGAATACACACATAGAACTAGTTTAAGATTGTTTGCCAGTAAGATGAGCCAAAAGACTCTAAGAGGTTGAAAACTGATCTTAACCCAATCAGTTTCTGATCAAATTGTCCCGTTCTGTATGTTACATTTTATTCTTTTATTATTAAATTATGATGTTCAAATTGGATCATGAGTAACAAAAAAGCTTTTCTCTGCAAAAACTGTTGACAACGAACCTTTTTTCCCTTGAAAGTTACTTGGATATTTACAACACAATGATCAAAATAAGAACACTTGAAAATTATACATACAGTCTATGAAGATCGGTGGCTCAGTGGTTAGCACTGTGACCTCACAGTACGAAGGTTGCAGGTTCGAGTCCCGGATGGGTCAGTTGGCATTTCTGTGTGAAGTTAGCATGTTCTCTCCGTGTTTGCGTGGGTTTTCTCTGGGTGCTCCAGTTTTCGCTACAAGTTCAAAGATATGCGCTATAGGTGAACTCAATAAACTAAATTGGCCGCAGTGTATGTGTGGAAATGTGAGAGTGTATGGATATTTCCCAGAACTGGGTTGCAGCTAGAAAGGCATCCGCTGTGGAAAACATATGCCAGAATAGTTGATGGTTCATTCCGCTGTGGTGACCACTGATTAATAAATGGACTAAGCATGAAAGAAAATGAATGACTATATGAAGATATTAAAAATACATTTTACTGGGCAGCACAGTGGCGCAGTGGCTAGCACAATCGCCTCACAGCAAAAAGGTCACTGGTTCGAGTCTCAGCTGGGATTTCTTTGTGGACTTTGCACGTTCTCCCCGTGCTTGTGTGGGTTTTTTATGGATGCTCTGGTTTACTCCACAGTCCAAAGACATGTGCTAAAGGTGAATTGGGTAAGCTAAATTGTCGGTAGTGGATGTGTGTGAATGAGTGTGTATGGATGTTTCTCAGTAATGGGTTGCAGCTGGAAGGGCATCTGCTGCGTAAAACATATGCTGAATAAGTTGGCGGTTCATTTCTCTGTGGCGATCCCTGATTAATAAATGGACTAAGCTTAAAATGAATGAATGAATGAATGAATTGGCATTTAGTCAAAACTCTCAGTAAGCACGAGAAAGCATGTGTGTGTGTTTGTATGTCCCATAAAAAGTAACAGTGCTCAAATAATCACAGAGTTTTCATTTCTGGCTAAAGTTTCTCTTGAAAAGTGCACAGAGCGTTCTGGTTTGATAACCGTCTTCTGCAGGGAAGTTTTTGTACCGTCAGTAGTGCTGTCATTCTCCCCGGGGCTTTTAACTCAGTCAGCCCATTTCCATTTAAAGCCACTCAATACCACCTGAACTCTATATAAGACTATGTTATGTGAGCAATGTTTAGAAAAAAGATTATTTTCAGAGTTATCTCAAAGCATGGTAAACGGATTTTAAGTGGATGGATTTGTGTTCTTATTTCAGGGCACCAGCAGACCACGGGTTTGATTAATAACCAGGGAGGTCAGGGGGTTGCGGTGTTCCCTTGCCAAACAAAACGCCTTCCAGGTGCGTGGACGACCCGAAATATCTCTATCTGAATATGTTCTGGAAAACGGACATGGGAGGTTCTGATCCTTCATGCCAAGTCTGCTCCTGAAAGTTTCTGAATTCACACTTCAACACCGCAGAAATATTCTCTAATCAGGACTGTACGTCGATAATAAAGGCCCTCTGACGTGAAGAACAACGGGAGCTGAATTAATATGTACGGAAGTTTTCTGGGAAAAGATTAACCCTCAGCATGGGCTACAGTACATTACACTGTCAAAGAAGATCCTGCACCTCTGATTATGATTAATCTGTATTAGAGAAAGTGCTTGATGTTGAATTAATCTCCCACCCAAGGGCTAAAGGTTCTTTACTGGCATTGAGGGTTCTATGAAGAACCTTTATCACCCATTAAAACCTTTAAACTCCACAAAAGTTGTTTTATAGTGGAAAAAAATGGTTCTTTTTTATGGAAAACAGCTTTTTTTTTTGGACCAGTGTATGTTGGAAAAACTATATTAGACATATTTTGTGTTTCACAAATGTTTTCCATTTATTACATTTGTGAATTGCATTATGAGATGTTGATCTCTGCACTGTCCACTTTCATCGCTGAAAATTCAACCCCACTGTTTAATAGAATGACTTTTATAGAAATTTTAGTAATTGGAAATAACAATGTAAACAATAAAACATGAAGTTTATTTATAAACTAATTTCGAGAGGATCACGTGCTTATGATTGCTTGAAGCTGGTCCTGCATTATTCAATTTATGATTCACCAATCAGACGATTCCTAAGCCACTATAAATACTCTAAGTTCCATATCACAGCCACGTTCGTTTTGAAGAATCTCCCTTTCCACCCCTACTCCTCCTCCTTTCCTAGATGGGTGGCACGGTGGCCCAGTGGTTAGCTCTGTTGCCCCACAGCAAGAACGTCACTGGTTCTAGTCCTTACCAAGCCAGCCAACATTTCTATGCAGAGTTTACACGTTCTCCCCATGCTCACGTTGGTGTTCCCCGGTTTCCTCCTACCATCTAAAAACATGCAACTTCAGTTAATTGACTAATCCAAATCAGCACCATAGACACTCCTAGTAAGTAGTTATATCGTAAGAGCAATCACAATCTGTTCATTAGCTATTACAGCAGGGGAGTTTTCGAGATCTACCTGAGCCCAAACTCTCCTCTCACCGTGCAAACGGGAGGGAGCTCCGGGCTCGAGGATCTTCTGAGCTCAGGGCTCTCTCCCGGGACAGCATGCCAAACATGCTTTATAATCAAACATCAGCTAAGTGTGAACTCTTAATAAAGAGAAATAAGTAGGGATGTCCAGAACCATTAACATAATCGGTAATCGGGCCCAATCATGCGGTTTCAGACAACACATCAGAGAGAAAAATCATGTTACATGACATTAGTGAAGAAACAAAACTTAAAACACACTTTACAAATATATTGACAAACAAAAAATCTGATTGTTTTACAAAAAAATGCCATTTCATTCTTCTTCACATTTTATTGAACATTGTTTTTATTATTTATTGATTTTTACTTTAGTAATTTCTGTTCTTTTATTCTGTAGAAGTCAAAACCTGTGAACCATGTCTTCTCCCCCTTTTGCATATTGTGCAATAACTTCCATAGATACAACAAATTAAGTCAATAATGATATATTTCTCCTTTTTTTTTTTTTTTTTTACGTGGTGTCACAATGGTTCATGGGATAGTCTTTCACAGTCTTGCATCACAAATTTTTTGTTAAATGATCATATACTTCAAATCAAAGTATGTAATGTTGTGATTGTCCTTGTAGCTGGTGTGCTGGCTTATATATAATGCTTTAACATGGATTCTTGCAAATAAAAAGAAACCCTCTGGCAAAATATTAATGTGAAACATACATCTGGAACCGGAGTTTCCTGATACACTATTGCATTATTTCACTAATGCACTATTTCACAATGTAGCTAATAACAATTGACATTTTTTTACTGTTATTGACATTTTAGTAGTTAAAAATAATATAAAATAATATATAGATAAATAAATCTGTAAAACAGCAGGAATATTGACAATATACGTTTGTGTACTGTGATATATGACAGCAACCCACACCATAGATCACTTTAGACTATTAAATATTAATAAATGTCACTTTTTTCAAACTTTTCAAGATAGAACAAGGTCCCATAATGCGACTCAAAAGCATAAATAAAAGGGGGGAAAAAATAAAAATCACAAAATATGAAAAACTGGTAGTTTACAGATATTTCCTGTACATGAACACATGCAAAAAAAAAAACTATAGTCTCCTAAAGTATATATATACACAATTATCAGACAGCCTAATGGAGCTTGGCACTATCACCAACGTCGAGAAATGCTTGAACTCAAATCAGAAACTTACAGAAGCATATAAATTGTCATAAGCTCTGAAAAATCTCACTTTCAGTAAGATTGTATACGACCGGGATGTGAAAAAGCTCTGTAGTTCCTGACGCACCTCGAGATGAAAACCTCATGTGTCCAAGTGAGCTCATCTTCAGACTCCACAGGATATATGCTAATGACGTCTCTGACTGAGACTATCTTGTGTGGCAAAAGTGGCATGTTTTTGTGGTCAGGTCTGGGTACAAGTGCAAAGCCAGAACACAATCACAGGAGTTTACTACATGCTTCACAAAAGTGTTCCCGAATGCTCCAACAAACACTTGAAATACATTTATGCAACGTGATTTGTCAGTTTTGTTTTGTTTTTTAATTAAAATTTGTAACAATTTGAAAAAAAATATTTTTTTCCACATTGTCATTAATGGTTATTGTGTGTAGAATGTTGAGGAAATAAATTAATTTAATCCATTTTAGAATAAGACTGTAACATAACAAATGTGGAAAAAAGTGCAGCGCTATGAATACTTTCCTGATGCACTGTAGCATTTGAATCTTGCTCCTGTTTTCTCATTGACTCTTAAAGTTGCCAAATATACACTAAAATTTCAGTCGAGAAAAAGGATTGTTTTATAAAATAGTAATTTCTTATGATGATTAAGGCATATTTCGATACTTGCAGTCTCCACGGTGCATTTGGATTTGCTTTTTAACCCCTCTTTAAAAAAATCAACAATGACAGAGTTTGGACAGAAGCAGGAATGGGCGGTATTAACGCCTAACCCTCGAGACAGACTCTCATTTCTACATTACACCAGCGCATAAAGGAGAACGCATGGCTCATTAGTCCCTTCATGCAACACTCAAGTCGATTATCAGTAGCCTGACCCATACAACGTGTCAGAAATGGAGGATATGTTTCGCCAAAATGAACCCACAAAATGAATATGCAGTCACGCGCTCTTGGGGAAGCACTATCTTGGACGCGTTTGAGGGTTCGGCTGTGTTTCCAAACTTCTCCTTAAAGTTAAATGGCACAGGACTCGAGCCTCTCCTCCTGTCGCGCGCCGTCCCGCTCGGCTTAGTTTTGGGCTTCTTCATCACCTTCGCCATTGCTGGAAACATCCTTGTCATCCTGTCCGTAGTTTGCAACAGGCACCTGCGATCTCCAACTAACTACTTCATCGTTAACCTCGCAATCGCCGACCTGCTTCTGGGCACCACCGTGTTACCGGTTTCAGCCACTTTGGAAGTAGTGGGCCACTGGGTGTTCGGTAGAATCTTTTGTGATGTTTGGGCAGCTGTCGATGTGTTGTGTTGCACCGCGTCCATCATGAGCTTGTGCGTAATCTCCATTGATCGTTATATTGGAGTGAGCCACCCTTTGCAGTATCCTAACATCGTGACGGGACGCAGAGCTTTGCTGGCCATGTTGGGAGTCTGGGTCCTGTCTCTGGTCATCTCTATAGGACCGCTTTTGGGTTGGAAGGAGCCTCCGTCACCGGACGACACGGTGTGCGCAATTAACGAGGAGCCCTTTTACGCGCTCTTCTCATCCCTCGGCTCCTTCTATATCCCGCTAATAGTTATTCTAGTTATGTACTGTCGTGTTTATGTCGTGGCCAAAATGACCACTAAGAATTTGGAAGCAGGAGTGAAAACGGAGTCCATGAATTCCGGTGAAATAACTCTGCGGATCCACAGGGGATCGCAGGTGCACGAGGACGCGGGAAAAAGTCGCGCGCACCAGGCGAGAAATTCTCTGACGGTCAAACTTCTCAAGTTTTCCAGGGAAAAGAAAGCAGCAAAGACATTAGGGGTCGTGGTTGGCATGTTTACGCTGTGCTGGCTGCCATTCTTCCTTACTTTGCCAATTGGTAGGTGTTTTGTTTTCTATATACAGTTGCGTAATTCCTTTCCCCCTTTCTTATTCATCTTGTCAAAGTGTGTGGAGTGAGTCGTCACTGAAAAAAAGTTGGGCACACTTTATTTTGATCATCCGTTAGTTGAATTTAGGTTACATTGCATCTACATGCCTAATATTTCTCATTAGATTATAAGTAGAGTATTAGGCTCTGGGGGTTGGGGTTAGTGCAAGTTAACATGTACTTGCAAAGTTTCTTACTGTCAGTTGAAAGCAGACAGTCTACTAATACTCAAATGGACCATCAAAATAAAGTGTTACCAAAAGATAGTTAAATAGCACATAAGTGTTGTTTGTTTGTTTGTTTGTTTGTTTGTTTCAAAAACTAAACATACAGTGCTCAGCATAATTGAGTACACCCCATTTTGAAAATGGATATTTTTCTGCATTTCTCAGGGAAGGTGATGTATTTTGGTGCATTTAATCAAAGCATATTTATTAAACAGATATATTTATTAAAATAATGTTTTAGTCACTAAACATATTTAGAAATTGAAAGAAACTACAATTAAATTCAAGCAAAATATTGCAAAAAAATTACAACCTACAAAATTTTGTTTCTCTTGATTTTTCCTCTTTTTAAAATTTTGTATTTAATATTTTTCTAACATATACACTTGGGTGAACTTTTTTGACCGTTATCATAAATTATTTTGTTAGATTAGCTCCAGATTTGGCTTCGTTACTGAGTAATGTAATGTATATGCACAAATATAATATTGTATAAATTCCTATTAAAAATAAATTTAAAAAATTTGTAAGATGGGTACTTTTATTTGCTGATGCCTCTAAATACTTGAACCACAGTGGTTTTGCCTTAAGCTTGATAACTTTAAAACTAGCTGGCCATCTGTCTTTTTTACTTTATGATTGTTTAGAGTAAATTTAAAACTTTTATACAGTTAAAGGCAGAATTATTAGTCCCCCTGTTTTTTGTTTTCCCCCAATTTCTGTTTAACGGAGAGAAGATTTTTTTTCAACCCATTTCTAATCATAATAGTTTTAATAACCCATTTTTAACAACTGATTTATTTTATCTTTGCCCTGATGACAGTAAATAATATTTGGCTAGATATTTTTCAAGAAACTTCTATACAGCTTAGTGACATTTAAAAGGCTCAACTAGGTTAATTAGGTTAACTAGGCAGGTTAAGGTAATTAGGCAAGTTATCTATGTAGACTATCAAAATAAAATAGCTTAAAGGGGCTAATAATTTTGTCCTTAAAATTGTGTTTAAAAAAACTAAAAACTGCTTTTATTCCAGCTAAAATAAAACAAATAAGACTTTCTCCAGTAGAAAAAATATTATCAGACATACTGTGAAAATGTTCTTGCTCTGTTAAATAATTTAGAAAATATAAAAAAAAGAATACATTCAAAAGATGGCTAATAAATTTGACTTCAACTGTGTTATTTTAGCTAAAATATTTATATAAAAATGTGTTCAAATGCAATATGATAATATAAAGGATTCTTTTGTAAATATGTTTTAAGTGTTTACTTGTACTTCTATATTTGTTTTATCGTTGTAGTTTTTAACTTTTGCTTTTAGCTGTGTTTTTAAGTTCGATGAAAATGTCGATTAGCTTAGTGATAAAAAATATTTACAGATTTATTATTATTATTATTATTGTTGTTGTTGTTGTTGTTGTTGGTAGTAGTAGTAGTAGTAGTAGCAGTATATACGTTTTTCTATTTTTATTTTTTTTATAATTGTTATGAAAATATGACATTCTTAAAATTCTATACATTGTTAATGACACCCTGCCCTTCATCCTGTTTGCTCTTATAGACATCCTATATACTGTCTCATACTTAATACTAATTTTTCTAGTCAATATTTGATCCCATGTCATTGTGGATCTATGAAACTTTAGCAAACAACAATTAAGATGAAACAATCCTCAGCATAAATAATCAAATCATTATTAATGTAATGCTAAGTAAATATTGAACAATCCCTCTACTGAACATTATTGATGTCTTAAAACATTTGACAAGGTAAATATAAATATATTTTTTGCTATTTATAAGTGCCATTAAGTTGTGTAACACAATAGACAGGAACAAAATAAAATATTGAGCAATTACAACTTTCCAAGCCCAGCATATAATAATAATAATAATAATAATAATAATAATAATAATAATAATAATAAAGATAATAATAATAATAATAATAATAATAAATTGTAATTATTATAACCATAATCATAATAATAATATATTATGTACAATAATATATTCTTAACAACAACAACAACAACAATAATAAATGAATAGTAATGTTAAAATATTATTTTTTTATTATTTATAATAATAGTAATAATATTAGTTTAATGTATTATCATCACCATCATATATTATTATTAATATTAATACTACTAATATTAATAATGATAATAATTTTAAAAAATAATAGAAATCATCATCATCATCATAAATTATTATTATAAATTATTAAAATATGAATAGTGATATTAATAAAATAAAATAGTAATAATAATATTTAGTTTAATATATTAATATAATCATCATCATCATCATTATTATTATTATTAATTAAATATAATAATAATTTTGGTAATAATAATATTAATAATAATAATAATAATCAACAACAGCAACAACATACTAACAATAATATATTAATAAAATAAATAATATTTAAAAAATAAAATTAGTTTAATATAGTATCTTTATTATTATTGTAATCATTATTATTATTTAAATAATTTGTTATAAAATAAAATAATAATTATTAGTAAAAAATATTACAATTACTATTATTGTTATTATTATTATTATTATTAATGAAATTAATAATATTAAGATTAAGAATAATAATAATAATGTATTGATGATGATGATAATAATAATAATAATAATACTATATGATCACTATTATTATTGTTATTGATAATTATTATTAATATATTAAAATGTCATTTATATTACTATTATTGTTATTATTATAATTTTTTACTAATATATTATTAGTAGTATGTTATTATTATTGTTATGTTTTTATAATAATAATAATAATAATAATAGTAAAATATTTATAATAATTAGATAAAAAATACATAAGTGAAGAAAGTAAATTACAATGACAAAATAATCACAACAAAATGAACAAAACCTTTAATGCAAAAAAAAAAATGCAAAAAAAAAAAAAAAAGAAAATCAAGAAATTATTAAAACCTATCATTTTAGTTACTAAATAGTTACTAATTAACACTAAAACAACACCGTTTTAAACTCCCTTCACTTCACTAAACTGAACATCCTCTATAGTCTGCATGAAACACACACAAGTGATTTATCCCAAAAGGCTTCTTCTGCCGGACGCTTGTGGTCAGTGGGAAGAGCGCGGAGTAGGGGTTAAGACAGAATAAATCTCTTTGCACTTTATTTCCTCGTCCCTCTCAAGGGGCCCTGTGCAGTGTGGGGTCCCTCAGCATCCGCTCGCTGTTTGACTGTCAGAGCAGGGAGTATGAGAACCAGGCCCTGGACCGCAGCCATTCAGACTCAAAAGCAGGTTATTAATAATGAATTAGCATAGTGCTCATTCCTGTCCCAGACGGGGTTATCTGTGCAGGGCAGGCTGCCTAAGAGTTCAGCTGTCCTGCTTCTTAATTAGGCAACTGTGCTTTTTTTTGTTTAAACTACTTATTTAAAATGAGCTAAAACAACACAAGTTTGTTTTTTAAAGGAACAACTTAATTGTTTTATGTTCAATTCGCTTACATTTGTAAAGACTAATAAGTTTAATTAATTCTTGATTGTGTGGAACCCAGCATTTTTTATAGCATCTGGTTCTTCTCGGGTTTTACAAAACAGAGTCTTAAACGGTAGCATGTTTGGGGAGTCTTCAAAGTAGTGAATTATTGTAGAGGCAGAGGTCATATTAATGTAAATATATCATGATACTGTGTTTTAAAGTTAACAAGCTTATTTAGACAAGGTCACTTTGTGTTTATGGTACATGAAAGCTACTAAAATAATGTCCTTTTTATTTAGAAATAATCCATCACTGTTCCAAGCAACCAATTTCCTGTACTAATTTGATGTGTTGTAAATCACTCCCACTTTTTTTTTTTCTTTAAACTTTATGAAACTTTCATTTATATTGTACTATTTACTTATTTAATGTGAATGCTAACGCTATTAAAGAATGTTTCAGTCACATAATAAAAATTATAATAATATCATCATCATAATTTCTCATTATTATTATTATTATTATTATTATTATTATTATTATTATTATTATTATTATTATTATTATTTTATAACCCAGATTAATAAAGGGACTAAGCCGACAAGAAAATGAATGAATGAACAATAATAATAATAATAATAATAATAATAATAATAATAATAACAACATATCAGCATCATCATCATCATCATCATCTCTCATCATTATTATTATTATTATTAGTAGTAGTAGTAGTAGTAGTAGTAGTAGTAGTATTAATATATTATTATTTTTAAAACAATAATACATTATTGATAATAATAATAATAATAATAATAATAATAATAATAATAATAACAACATTTCATCAACATATCTCATTATTATTATTATTATTATTATTATTATTTTATAACCCAGATTAATAAAGGGACTAAGCCGACAAGAAAATGAATGAATGAACAATAATAATAATAATAATAATAATAATAATAATAATAACAACATATCAGCATCATCATCATCATCATCTCTCATCATTATTATTATTATTATTAGTAGTAGTAGTAGTAGTAGTAGTAGTAGTATTAATATATTATTATTTTTAAAACAATAATACATTATTGATGATAATAATAATAATAATAATAATAATAATAATAATAATAATAATAATAACAACATTTCATCAACATATCTCATTATTATTATTATTATTATTATTATTATTATTATTATTTTATAACCC